ATATATTTGTCTACATTAGGAAACTCATGCAATGACTAAACTGATCGCAGACTTCCTAAACATGGGAGACGTGTTAACCCCCGAAGACATATCCATCATATCTGCCACAAACATATCCCAGAAAGCGACTCAAGAGTTGTACAAAACGGTGGACACGAGTATCGCCGACAAGAAGACAAAGTTCGAGGGAGTGGTCGGCGATTGGCTTAACTACTACTCACCGGAACAGAGCCGACAGATGGACGAACTCATGAGGAATAGGTTTGAACGCATGGGTCTCAGTATGTGCTGCGAGTCGACGGAAGTGGTCAAACGGTTGTCCAAATTTGGTCGCATTCTTATCAATACAAACGCTGGCAGTAATGGTGCCGTTAAGCTGACCGGTGCTCATACGGAGGATACTAATGGTGTGAATACAGTGGAGCGGAAGCGTCCAAAACTGGTTAAAGAAGAGTTCGTACTCATGAGGAATAAGAGTCTCATTTCGGAAGAAGTCTATTCCATAGAAACCGAGTCCGATGACAGACCTACCGGTGCCTGTGTCGGGTGCTGTCAGGGCTGGTGGCAGTGGTGTTGCTGTCCGTGTTTTGGGACACCAATTGACTGATTAATGATTACTAACTTACATTGTTTTGTCACAAATTAAATTGTGTTCATATAATCTATATTTTGTTATGAATTATAATAGTGTTAAACAAATAGTTGATGATTTCAAATAAAAAATACTTGAAATCATATTTATATGAATAGTAATAAAATGTTTAGTAAATGAAATCATTTTTAATGAGCTAGCGCTAATATGATTACCGGTAGTACTGTATGCTTAAAAGAGGTAAGTGCCTATAAACCTAATTACTACAGTATGTTCAAAAACTTTAATTTAAGGCAATACTATACTAGTAACTGTCAAAATGTACTAAAATATAATTTAAGCAAATAATCAGTTTGAACCAAAGGCTTAACATTAAAAGATTTTTAATTAATTTCAATAAATTAAATAAAATGTTATTCAATTAAACTGAATGCATGAAAATATTTTGTAAATTAATATTTAATATCTGATAAGAACTACATTTGACGTAATATTTAAGGCATTATTTGTGATGAATATAAACATTTGGGACTAATTATAAAAAAGTACTTTTTTGAGAAAAATGAGATAAAAAGTTTAATTAAATCAAACTTGAAATACTCGTTTCCACTCACAATTATTCCCAGGGCAAAAATATTTGTACAATTTTCAAGTTTATTACAAACATTGGGGAAAATTATTTGACACTAACCATATTATTATATAACCACGTTTACTATACTATTATTTGTTACTAAAAATTACTTTTTTTGTTACTTATTGTGTGGAAAACCTATGCTATTGTATATAATTACTGAATAGTCAATTAGTTTAAAAACCCCTATAATTGTGAAACATTTTGGAAATTTTATATCATGTTTGACAGCAAACTTGTTTTACTTATTGGTGTCCTCGTTGTCACCATAAGTGAATCCATGGCTCAAAGGGATCACAACATTAATATAGATCTCGGGTGAGTTTGTATTGAAATTTATACTTATAATTAAGTGATTATTTGTACAGAAATAGACATTTAATAAAAATATAATTAATTCATATACAGAAAGATCTTTCGTATGGGTCTACTGACGGGAACGGGAGGCACCAAACTGGGCATTGATGTGCTCAATGGTTTCGTGAACGTCGGTGTTGACCGTAACAGATATCCTGGGTATTCAAGTAGTAGTGGATATCCAAGCAGTGGTGGTGTCACCGGAGGTAACCATGTCATTGACATTGAAGAGGACCCCTATATCCGTCCCGTACGGACTGGTAGTATAAGGGATAGGATCCGCAATAAATACATTTACAACAGAAGGGGTGCCACTGATGTCAATGTGTCCGTCGGTTAAGTTATTTTGTGTTTTTAATACACGAATACTTTAATTATTTTTCATTTAATACTTTAATTAATGTACTCTAATTGCTAATTACAATTTACATTAAAATCTAATTAAGTAAAACACTGCATTTGTAATCAATTTGAATCAAATTAATAATTTATAATATACGGTACTTAATACTAATAAGTTATATTTTAAAAACACTTTAAAATATATTTTTACTTATTCTTATATTCTTAGTTACCATATTATTATTTAATCAAGGTTTATTTACAATACATTTACAGTACCAATATTGTTAATTTATTATCTCAAGCTAAATTATACTTATTTATTATTAGTATGCTGGTGAATTATTAAAACAATAAAATCAATGTTTAGTAAAAATATTCAGTCTTTCTGGCCATAGATAGCGATGGATTCATTTGCAGGTGAATTGTGGCAAACCGTTTGCGCTGAGTGTTTGTCAATAGCTCCCGATTCTCATCATTGTTTGGATATATATTTTGGTCACTATTCTTACGGTTAATACAATACATACAACACATGACAGTTAAACTCAACATAAATATAATCACAAATATTATCAATACAATCATCACATAGAACTTGTAGACTGAAAGTAGTCTTAAGTATTCATNAATAAATCAAATAACTACCCAGTATAGTATCCAATTAAGTTTCGTAAATATATCGCGTAAACTTATTAAAAATAGTTATATGTTTTTAGAAATACAATAAAATAATTAGTAATTGAATTAAATAATTAGTAATTGAATTAAATAATTAGTAATTGAATTAAATAATTAATATTAACAGTAGCCGCTAATTGATTACTATCACATTACCGTTAACCAACATTGTCAATATAGTGCGGAAACTTATTAATAATTATATTTACAGTATGAATATTAAAATTTATGTGTTACAATATTTAATATTTGTAGTTTAAAAATAATATGAGCCATTTCCAATATCCTATTGACTATAATTGAATATTAATAATACAGTATAAATTATTAATAGTAATAGTAACAGTTTGTAAAAAGGTTAATAACTTAAATATATAATCTATAATATAGATTCTACAGCAATATTAAACATCGGAAGTATAATTGATATTAAAATAATCTTAATTACGAGTTTAATCTCCTCGAAGGTGACAAATAAGACGTGTTGTGGACACAGACGAGACAATTGCCAGTAGTCTATAACATGTGAGAAGTAGTCGCCATAAAGTAGGTGTCCACTCATATACAGCGATATGAAATCATCAAACGATGAGAGTATGCCTTTCACCCGGTGCTGGTAATAGTAGGACACCGACTGGTCTTTGGGGTTACGTAACAAATATATTATCTATAAATTG